TAAAATCGCTAAATCGGCAACCAGAAAAGCTGGAAAGCTAAGATTTTAAGGGAATGTTCTCAGCCTTCGTACAAATTAAAGTTTTCAAATTCAGCTCCCAGTCGTGCGTGGTTCTCATGTATGGCCTCGTGAAAGTTTTGACTAGAAAGCCGCTAACTCGGAAAACAGAAAAGCTGAGAGGCTGAAATTTTAATGGAATGTTCCCCTTCCAAGTACTACTTACTTGCATAATCAAATTTCTAAACATCGAGAACTAGTCTGCCATAAATTTAAGCTACTGGATTTCCAAGCGATCTTACTACAGCACAAAATACTGTAAAAATGCACGATCGCACGGACCCACTTGGTGCGCGTCGTCAATGATTTTCTGGCTTTCTGGTCAGTGACTTTAGCACCAAAACTTTCACGTAGTGCTACAGTCAAAAACTTTCAGATCAGTGGCCGTATGACCACAACCATCGTACTGACAAGGTCCAGTTGTAGGACTGTATATGATTTTGTAGACCAGAACATTTCTTCCCTCTTTGCAAACCTTTCTGAGTTTTAAATTTCTCTTTTGCTTCTTCATTCCGCAACTCCTTCTACCTCATGACTCTTTCAATTTCAAGTATAAAAGTTCATAAAAATTAATGAAAATTGTGGAGTAATACGAAAAAAGTTTACCTGAGTTCGAAATTGTCCAAAAATAGTTTCCGCATTTTGAGCTTGTAACGCACCTTGCATCAACTTCGGAATTATACCACTGCTTTCATTAAGCTGTGAAAATATTAACAGGAAAAGCGTAAGGGACAAGCTCAATAGTAAACTTCTCTGTTGTCATGCATAAGTCGAGAGATCGACCCCACTGATGGGGGCAAACAATGTCTCTTCAGTTAGTTCATTCTATGGCAAGTTCTTACTAGCCAGGGGGTGAAACCTGCCACCAGTCTGCTTTAAAATAACCATAAAAAAAGGGAACTATCAACATCTTTGCCAGCGGCCGTTTGCTGTTGGCACTCGCTATTACTCGGGCTACCTCTGAATGCTTTTAACTTCCATAGAATGCGAGCACGGAGGGACGGGAGAAAGGGCGGGGAAGGGGGAAGACATAACGGAAAAAAAAAATTTAAGAGCAGATTTGAGGAAACATTGATTTCATCCATACTTCATCATTCATAATATTTACATGTGTTGCGTGAAAGTGGCGTAGACCCTTCACAGTTTATTACCTACGTCAGAACTAGCGCTCCC